TTTTATTGTAAATGAAGCAGAGTTCAGACCGTCCGGCTGTGCGTCATCTGTTGGATGGCTGCCACCAGCTAATGCAGGCGTCCCACTGGGAGACCAGAGAAGAACTATACTTTGATTCACCAGATTGTGTTAAATAGTCCAGCTGTTGCGATTTGAAAGATAGTTACCTCAGAAGTGAAATAGAAATGAACTTGGCATTTATGCCTCAAACCATTTTTATACTGTTTGGCAATCAGCTTTTCAGAGGTAGCATTTTATAAAATAACTCTCACCACTTAAAAGTTTCGTTCACTGTAATGTTCAAAATGTCCCACCTTTATATTATCAGTAAAATTAAGCTTGAGTGATATGCAAAATTTGCATGAAATAAGCATTTTCCCCCCTTCATTTCATGAGCTTTGATTGTATTCAATTGAGCTCAGAACCATGTCTATTAGGGCTCTTTGGGGGTATTAGTTAATTTGAATTGCAGCCGAAATGTTAGCTAGAATGTTGTTGAATATAATTGGAACATGGAAAGTTGATTTTGAATGGAATTTCATTGAATGCAAACAATGATGTGCTTTTTTAAGAATTAGAAAGCTGCACTTTCATCTCTTGTAACACAGTCTGAGAAATCGGAGTCCCTTTACTATAAAGTTCAATTTTGGGCATTACCGTTTGCAATTGTTCTGATTCTTCTGGTACCAGTATCAGCTGGAGTCAGGTTTTTCGTTTTACTAGCAAGTGGCCCCATCTGCCCCAGTCTCACCTTCTGGCCCTCTTGCAGGTGGGGAAAAGTAACTGCTTTCTGAAAGGGCGACTAAGTTGTGTTGAGTTGGCCAAAAAATTCATTTGGGTTTTTCCGTAAGATGTTATGGGAAAACTCAAATGAATTTTTTGGCCTGCCCAATACTTAGGCATTAGGCTTCATGGAGTGGCATAGATTAGTATATTTTCTCCTAGCTTTTATTTTGCTTTTCGGTTTTTCATTTTGTCTTGGAATAGCACTTAAATGATTGAAAATGACTCACAAAAACACCTATTTGAATGGATCAAAAAACTCACTGCTATTTTGTTGTGGTAAGAGAAAAAATATTTGACAGAAAGTCAAGATGCCACAATGTTAATCCTTATCTGCTATTAACAAATTGTGTGCTCACACAAGCATTTAACTCACTATTCTTTGGTGTCATCCCCTGATAAATGAGAAGGATTGACCAGTTCATGTCAGTAATCCCTCTCAGCCTGAACAGTCCATGATTCCAGTCTTCATGTCAGCTCTAAAATTTAAGCTTTGCTTGGAGATTTTGCATCTTACAGGAGAAGGTCTGCCATACTTTTTATGAATACTGACTTCTAATTCCTTATTTGGGATCATTGCTCTTAGACGAATTAAAGTAGAAAAACTGAACCAAACAATGGTATACTACAGTTCCTATTGGATTGTTGTGTTTGAGCACCTGGGATTTTTCACCTTGGGGAGAAGCCTCAGATTTAACCTTCTAGAACCTGCCACTGTTGCTGCCTAGAGTAGGAGCCTGGGTTCTGGGCACCATCACCGGGGGCACTTTCTGGCTCTTCCCATAAGATGGGATTGGAGGTACAGTGAGGAACAGGGTTCCTCATTCCAAAGGGAACCCTGGGCAGCTCCCCCATGGGAACCAGGGATAGACTTTATGATGTCACACCAGGAAGAGCTAGACTTAAGTCACAAAGGAAAAAAACAAAACAAGGGATAGCTCCAAGGGAGGAATTTTATATTTATCGATCTGAAAGATGCAGGTGAAAACAATGATTCAGAAAAAATCTGTAAACGTACCAGAATTAGCCTGTGGCATCATCATCGTGTTTCTAGAAGATGCCTTTGGTAAAAAGCTATGTGATGTTGTGGGAGAATCAGGGACAGGGAGATAGGAACTTCTGATTCTTGTTCTAGCTCTGCCACCGATAAGCTGTGTAATTTTAGGTCTTGCTCCTCCCCTCTCCAAACCTCATTTTCTTTATCTGTAAAAGAAACAGTTGGACTAGATGATTGCCATAGTCCCTTTTAGCTTCAACCCTTTGGAATTCCAAGCCAGTGTTCATTATCTTTCAGAAACTAGTTAATTCTGATTCTCAACACATAGATTCAGAGAAGTTTTCCACTGTGCCAAGTTCAGTGATAACCAAAGGAGTTCTCAAATTGGAGTCTACAGGTGACTTAATAATAGGTTAATCTATTATTGAGAAGCCTACTTCAGGAAAGAACAGCAGTTCTCTCGACTGAGACAATTCCAGGAAAATTGCAGCCTGTCCATACAGAATTTCTGAGCTTCCAGTTGAGTCAACATCATTTGTTGCTGTTGTGGAGCCCCAAGAGCACTTCCTGGAAGTTTTCAGCCTCCAGCTGATGAAGAAAGCATTTTTAGGATATGTTCATCACCCCTTCACCTGCAGACACACGTGGGCATGAAAACACCCATGGTAGTTCTACAAAAGTGATGAATGAAGGTCAGTATGGGTTGATGGAAATTGCTCACCTGAAATGAGATGGATACCTCCATTGCATGTGTCGAGCAGACTGGCCGGCTTATCTGCAGTGGGCTTAGACCCAGTGTCATGGAACCAGACTGGGGACTTGACTGGCAGATTTTATGTGACTTTGACTGTAACAGTTTAGCTAGACTGGAACTTCATTTTCTAGAATTCCCTTTAATTCTCTTACCCATTTGTTTCTAGATTAGGCTTTGCCACAAGAGAAATTGGCACGAGCTTTAGAAAGTGGAAGTGATGTAATAGTGGGTTTTTTTTTTTAATGCTCTGAAAGTGTGTTTAAGGCAGGTGCTTTTACTGCTCATGCACATTGTCACCTAGTTGGCATGTGGCACAGCTGCCTCCCTCTCCCCTTTCTAGCTTCCCCAAATCTTGGGCCAGATGTATGTGATTCCATGTGGAAGGGCTCCAGGTTTACCCTGAAGCTCACCTGCATCATCAGGATTGGGGATTGTGAGAGACGGGGCTCTTGTTTATCCTCAGCTTCTTGCTGCTTCTCATCTGCACAACCTGCTGATTTCAGGCCCAGCATCATACACAGACTCGCATAGACTGCCTGACTGGCTCTCTCCATTGCCTGAGGTCTAACCTATAATGAATCCTTATGCCATTCATGGTGGTTCTGCTTCTCTGACCGTGGATTCGGTCTTTCAGGTGTTCCCTGAGTCAGAGAAGGTCAAGCCAGATACCACTGGAGTAAATTCATCCCACGGTGATTGCCAAAACACAGATATCTTAAGAAGTGGATCTTTGGCCAGAGTAGGTGGGCAGTGTCAGAGGTATCTGCTAATGAAAAGGGTGTTGCCAGATTCAGGCGAAAATAAAGGAATCTGTCCTCACTACAGTGTAACATTCCTATCAGGCCCCTGGTCATCTCTCTGCTTTTACTTCTCCAAAGAAGACAGTTATGTGCTAATTACTTATTGATGATAATCAAGTCACACAGTATAACTGGAAAGCCTTATAGCGGTTTTCAAGCATTTGGACAGATCTCATAGTGCTGGGTGGTAAAACTGGTCCCTGTTTTGTTACCTGTGGCTGTACTGTGCAGGCCACTTTGTCTCAACAGTGATCATTTGTTCTTGTTTGCTTTTGTTGTACAACAGAGGTATCCAGACCTGCTCACACAGAGGCCTTGGTTTCTGAGCATTCATTCTGAGCCTTTCACGCACAGTAGTTCATTAGTATTCGCTCATTTGTTTACTCCACAAATGGGTCTGCTCTGGGTGCTGGCGTTTAACTATGAACAAAGCTAAACAGTCTAACTCGTGGATGCTTACATTTTACTTAAAGAGACAGACATTTAACAACTGCTTATTTAACTGTAACTGTGGTAAGTCCAACAAGGGAGAAGTATGAGGCAGTAAGGGAGTGTCAACCAGCAGGTCTGACCTACGGGTCAGAGAACAATAGACATCAACTCATCAGGGGAACTAGCAGAGCAGTGGGGAGACCTGGCCAGCAGTTCATCAGTACTCATCCTGACATCCAGAGGTGGACATGGGTCAGGGGTGTGCTGGGTCATAGTTAACATTCTAGCAACCACCAGGAAGACCAGATAAGTCTGAATAACGTTTGCCTTGCCTGCAACACACCCCTCAACCTCCAGGCATCAGATCAGCAGTCCAGCCCCTTCAGATGGTTGCTCCTGTCCTATCTTCTGAGAGGACTAGGTGCCCACAGCCTAATCTCCTGACATGTGGCAAGAGAAGAGCGTTGCAGGACACCTCCATTTCCACAAGGAAATTATTGCCTATTTAGCTGGAGAAGCAGTAGCTTCTTGCATCAGAAGAGAAGAGAGGAAACCGCAGTGGAAAAAGAAACTGCATTTGAAATTCAATAAGAAATTTCTCAAATATGACTCTCCTTTTTAGAAAAAGTGGTAACTCGGCATTTCAACTGACTCTGTAGATTCTCCCATCCACCCTGGTTCCTTCCCTCATTCCTCCCCAGGTCTGACCAGAGTCGTTCCTGCCAGCAAATGGCAGCAGCTGGCACATCTCTCAGCTGCCCGTGGGGGTTGGTGGTGATTTATTTCCATCCTCCACGCCATCTCCTCAGAGCTAATCTGCACCCCCAGTACCCTGGGCACAAGGGAAGAGCTCCCTGCCCCCTTCCAGCTAAGCAGGGGTGGGGCAGGAGCCCGGGCAGCGGGCAGTGGGGGGTGTGCAGAGCACCTGGGAGCTTTGAGCTTCTATGAGAAGAGTGTGCGATTAAGCAGGTAGGTGCCTTCGGCTTTTTAACACTTCCGCAGTTAATTGCTCTGACTTTTTCCGCCTTTCTTCTGGCCTTGTGTTCCTAATATGTAATCTAATAGCTTTTTTTTTTAATGGCTGGCACCTCAAAGACCACTTTTTGCATGTTGATTAGACTTAGAATGTTTTGGGGGTTTTTGCTCCTCTAAATCCAGGAATACAGAAAGATAAATGTTTTCTCTCTCTGCTTTTAATTTTTTGTTTGTTTGTTTTAACTGTTTCACCCCCTAGGCCTCCCAGTAACACTGGATACAGGAAACAATACATTGGCAGTGGAAAACAAGCCAAACCAGTTGTAGTTTTAGATCCTGTTTCCACATACGAACCCCAAACCAAAGACCAGGTCGCTGAAAAAGATCCAGCTCAACACAAGGATGATGAAGGTGAAACTAAACCAGGATACAAACAGAAAGTGAGAGATACCAACAGCTCCAACTGCTGATCCATAAACCGAAGGCTGGCGTGTTCGGAAGTCCTTTTGTAATGAGCACATGATTAGTTTTGGTGTATTGGCAAGGGCTATAGACACTCTGTTCTTGTCACTGTATTCAGAATATAGGTTCTTTTCTGATGTCACTTTTGTAAGTAGTTCACCTATAAATATAAGTAAGCTATTTAGCAAAATACACATTCTTTGTAGCTTTTTTTTGTTCATAGGGATAAGACTTTTTTCTAATTACTGTATTAAATGTGACTTCTTTTAGAAGATAACAAAAAATTCAGATGTTATCTTCTTAGGTAATGTGTGTACCGCTAATCAAATGTAATGATGAAAGGTTGCAGCACTTGTGTATAATTGGATAAACAGAACTGACTAGCTTAAGGTGATTTTTTTCTTTTTAAAAACCCAGAGAAGCTTCTGTTTTGCGTATCTGATCTTTTTTTTTTTTTTTTTTGATGGAGAAACTTCAGTAGCATGGAAATTGTTAGGCACGTAGTATACAGATTACTTTCTAGGATATACTGAGATAAGCTTAAAATTTCAGGAGCTAATGTCAAGCTAGCAGTCCCATCAAGGCATCTGGCCCCACTAAAGTGAAGTCGCTCAGTTGTGTCCGACTCTTTGCAACCCCATGGACTGTAGCCCACCAGGCCCCTCTGTCCATGGGGTTTTCCAGGCAAGAGTACTGGAGTGGGTTGCCATTTCCTTCTCCAGGGGATCTTCCCAACCCAGGGATCGAACTTGGGTCTCCTGCATTGCAGGTGGATGCTTTACCATCTGAGCCACCAGGGAAGCCCCATACTCAGTGTTAATTACACACATTAATAACTATGGGATGATTGTGTCCGAAGCCTCCCAGATTTTGGAGGGAATGCTCTAGTGACCTGAATGCAGAGTTGAGGTGAAGTCCAAAGCTTGAATTTAATAGAGTATTATCTTGGTAAACAGTGTGTTCAGTGCTATGAGTCAATTGTGTTTTCTCATGTACTCATGTGGCACAAGTACCATATTTTATCACAGTTCTTACATACAGTGAAGATAAGTGACAAGCATACAATTTCTTGCTTCACTGCTGTTTTACATTACACAAGTTTGTTGTTTTGTTTTGTTTTGTTTTGTTTTTAAGGAAATTAGGTGGTAGTTAGTCTCTAAAAATACAATGCTTCAGTCTACCACAGTGAATAAAGAAATGTAATCAGGGATTTAAAAAAAAAGACTTATGCAGCTTTTCAAAGTTGATTGTTTCAAAATTGGTGTTTATTTAAAATAAGTGGTAATGTACTTGAATGCATTTTCTTATGACAATGATTCAGTAATGGTAATTTTACTATTAAAGAAAGTGAAAGGGTTAGTTTTGTTAGCATAGCTCAGCATGAAGCTGTCAGGTGCTTCTCACCTAAGGGCGGAAGAAAATGATAGTAATAATTGCAGTAGTTGTATTTTATTTTTGCACGTATGCTAAACATAGGCTTGAAAAGGTGGTTAAGCAGGTAAATGTACTTCCTAAATTTGGAGATAATTATCTTTCTGTAGGTTCGTTAGGCTTGGCTGTTTCCATGTTTTCTTCCAGTGATGTTTTTACAGTTACTTATCAGTTCACTCATAGGGAATTAAAATGTAATGTTTTTCAACTGTGACTTCCCCTGATTGAACAATACTGCTGTATGATATACAAATTACAAACTGCATTAATTCACTGAAAATAAGGTCTGTTATGCTGTGATTTGAACTCTCCTCAGTACATTTATTAAAAAGCACCAATAGTTTCCCACTAAAGGTCACTTGTGGCTATTGATATTTTTGGTTTAGTTCCCCACACTTGACATCCTTTAATAAAATAATTGTATAAGACTTGATAAGTTTAGTAGTTTTTAATAATCCACAAAATGATTTCTTTTGAGGAATTTTATGCTATGTTTCTTCCTGCTTTTCCCATTCCTGTGTATATTGTCTGCTAGCATGTGTCTTAAAGGTATTTAGAAATATAAAATTCTGTACATTTGTAATTCCATCTTTCATCACACCCCCTTTCCAGGGTAAAGAGTCAACCATCTGGTGAAATGTGTTAGCTGGACCAGGCAACATTTAGTCACTGGTATTCTGAAAGTGTTCTTACATTTTCTGAGCTGCTTATTCCTTCACCATGATCACAGAGTATTTAAAGTTACTTTGATAAAATTAATCCTAGTGCCTTTCTGTAGCTGAGCTAGTCTCTCATAAACTCCTCACCTCCACTGGTTTCAGCACTTGCTCATTCCTGTGCAAATTCCCATGGCATTAACGGCTAACACCACGCAACCTTGATTGGCCTGAGTGAAAACAGTGGACGTTTTGGCTCTGACTCTCTGTGTTAGTAGCTTCCGTTGTGTCTGACTCTCTGCAACCCCCGTGGACTGTAGCCTGCCAGGATCCTCTGTCCATGAGATTTCCCAGGCAAGAATAATGGAGTGGGTTGCCATTTCCTTCTCCAGAGGATCTTCCCAACCCAGGGATCAAACCTGGGTCTCCCACATTGCAGGCAGATTCTTTACTGTCTTCAGACTACTCACCAGTAATTCCTCCTTCCTTACTTTTTTGTTAACAGTAAAATGTATGTTAGAAACGGAGTAGGGCAGGTAAAGATTACTGATAATTATCCTTCCAGGCAATTTTTTAGGATATTTGTCAGGTAAATGATAGTCTGTAGCACAGAATGTTAAAAATAAGGCTTGGATGATTTTTTATAAATGCACACCATACATGTTTAGGGGCTTCCCTGGTGGCTGGATAGTAAGAATCGGCCTGCAGTGCATGAGGTTTGATCCCTGGGTTGGGAAGATCCCCTGGAGAAGGGAATGGCAACCCACTCCAATACATATTTAATCATTTTCATCATGGAACAGCTTCAGCTTATGTGGCATAAAGTTGTGGATAATGGATAAACATCTCTCATCATCACTGACCTTAGGAAGGTCATCAAGCAGCCCTTACTTGAAGTTTCTTCTGAGCACTAATATTCCCAAGTCCCCCTGCCATTTCTTGTAAGGGGTATGATGACTTTCTTTCATCTCTTTATATGTAACATCTTATATATGTTTTATATCTTTTATATGTCCTGTAATGTGTGTAGAGAGAGAGAAAATATATAAATAGAAACAGTGCTTATCACTTTCAGAAGCTTGAAATGCTAATGTCCATTTGGTGACCCCAGTCCTCAAGTGAGTTAAAGTTCTGGGCACTGAAATTAGTGTTGACTTGGTTGAGGTAATAAATCACCTCTTTGGTTAATTTAGTTTTCAGTTACTAACTTAGTTGTACGTTTTTGTTGCGGCTTCATTCGGTTATAATTTGTATCACAGTTTCAGGGCACACTCTCACATGATCTCCCATATTTCATGTGTGTGCGTGTATGTGTGTGTGGGTACACGTGCAGAGGCTATGTGAATACTTACCCATCGCTTATTGCTAAGAATAAGGAAAGACAACAACAATCACACACTGTGACACAGCTCTCTCAACTTAAGAGTGATACCAACCAATCCTCCTGCCTTGTGCTTTGAAAGAATCTGCCATGGAGCCTATTTTAAGTCACTGCTTTTAGAGTAAGGCCTTGGCTCTGCCATAAGACCATGACATCTCCCTGTTAATACTCTTCAAAACGAGAGGTCCTCAGTGTGCTTAGAAAAACTTAGAGAATACATGAGAAATCTAAACTTAGCCAGCTTTCTCGCAGGTCAGTATGTAGCAATTTATGTAGTTTTGGGGAAAAACATGGTAACTGAACAGAGAATTTAAATCTTATAAAGCCATTGGATATTATTATATTTACAGGCATGTGTTTGAATATGGTTGGTTTTGGCTCTCTTCTATCACCCCAATACCAGCTTTCAAAAAAGACAATGTATATGCTGCATCATTTTTAATCACCTACTAGATGCTATAGTAAAAATAATTATGCATTTAATGGCTTTAAGGGTATTCATCCACTGGATGAATAAACTCAGTGTACTGAATTTATACTCATTTACTTACTCATACTCATTCCAAAAAGGCTCTAAGGAGATTCCCCAGAGATATAAATGACAGATGAAAAATTAAAATTTAGAAAGAGATGCGAATCAGAGAAAAGGGATTTGAGGATAGGAAAGTTAGAGGAAGCTGTTTGGCTCTTAAAACAATACGTGAAACTCTCATAGTTTTGCCCGAGGTTGGCTATAAAACTGTGTGCGTGCTTTCTAGCATGGATATTTAAGATAATAAGAGAAGATGTATACCTCTTCCTGGCAGAGAAAGCTCCCAGTGTAAAAGATGTTTGTTTTTAGAGATGTTCTGACTAGTGAAGTATGAGATGCTTGAACTGAGTGTGGAGTTGGTGGCAAAAATATTGGGACTGTTGTACTGGGTCCTGACCCCTCCCCCTCAAATGGACATATACAAACATGTGCAAGACAGTTTTTCCATGAACCAGAGCATGAGCATGTACAAACAGGGTCCCCACAGAAATGTGACAGCTGGAAGACAGGTTCGCAGGTATAATTTCCGGCAAAATACTCTCTCTGTTTTTCACCAAACAGTGAATGTAAAGGAAGAAAAAGCACACAAATTAGTGAAGTTTTTGGAGCAAAAGCAGAATGAAGCTATCCTCCAGGTCTATCAGTGTAATAGTCTGAGTGGTGTGGCTGTCAGCTGGGGTGCGTGCAACCCTGGTGGGCAGACGCTCAAAGTTTGGCAAGTTCCTCTGCAACTTCTGTGGGGAAGATGGGCTCAGGGACCTCGGGCAGCTCACCAGCCTTTTCAGCTTCCTCATTCCAGTTGAAAAATGTGTGTTCTTCATTGAAGCCTGTTAAAAAATGATGACAATAAAGTTTACTAATTCAGTGGCTCTGTTTTTTTTTTTTTTTTTGGCTATGTGACATGTGGGATCTTAGTTCCCTGACCAGGGATCAGACCCATGCCCCCTGCGTTGGAAGCACAGGGTCTTAACCAGTGCACCAGCAGGGAAGCCCCTGGTTCCAGTTTTTCTCTTTGTTACAGGATTTAGAGGAGACCAGCTTCAGAACTGTCCAGAGGTGTCACACCACCATTAGAAAGGATTCTAGACCTGCCAAAAAGTGGGCCTGTTGTTGGTTATATGTTAGCTGCAATACACTTGTTCTGTTCAGTTTTCACTGTATCCTCAGACAACATTCTGGAACGTTTGGTGTACAGCGGACTTTGGGCAGAGGCTGAGCAGCATAGGATAAGAGGAAGATGAACTGGAGGGAAGGCCGAGACAAACCTTTGCCAACTATTCCAAGGTCAACCTCTGTCGACTCAAGACTGCTGCAGTCAGGTCCCTGTAGGCAGGAACAGTGTTTTAACGGCTAGGCTTTTGCCAAGATTTCCTACACAACCTCTCAGTGGAGTGGTTTGCTTTTCCAGTTTTTTTGGTCCCCCTTCACGTGTATTGACCACTGCCAATGTCAGCAAAATCCTCATTAATCTGTTAATCCATTCCGGAATGCTCTGGCCGGCACTGTCACCAGGGAGGGGCTGAGCCTCCGGTCACTAGAGTCCTTTTTGATGCCCTGAAGCAGTTGTTCCCCTTGTGGTGAAGTCTGGTTGGAAATGTGATCGGTCATTTAGGGAATCTAGAGCTTCCACGAGTCAGGATGACAGAAATTAATCAGACAATAGATAGGAGTCATACAATTTTACCCATTAGAAAAAAAAAAGCCCTCACGTTACACACTAAATAATACGAACTTTGGACTGTCCTTACATGACTGAGACATAGTCTCCCCGTTATATCTTTTTTTTCTATAAATCTTTGGATGTGTGTCAAGGTCATTACATATGTTAAATGTGACACATTTATAGTTACTATTTCTGTTGGTCCCTGAAAAAAGTGCCTATATTGAGTCACAAAGCAGGACTTCCTTGCTACCCCACAATGCTCCCTATAATATATCTGTCTCATCCAGAGTTACATTTATGGCAGTGGTCAGTCCGCAGCCTTTTTGGCACCAGGGACTGGTTTCATGGGGGACAATTTTTCCATGAACCAGGGGGAGGGTGGTGAGGGGATGGCTTTGGGATGATTCAAGTGCATTACATTTATTGTGCACTTTGTTATTAATTACATCAGATCCACCTCAGATCATCAGACATTAGATCCCGCAAGTTGGGGACCCCTGATTTACAGTATACAAGTATGTCAGTGCTACTTAAATAACATCCCTTTTTGCAGTCTGGCAATTCCATTTTAAAATACAAATAGTTCTAGAATTTTGCAAAGACAAGTATTGGTCTCTTTAGACGTCTTTGCATGCTTTCTTTTGGCTATCACAGTAATACATAAAGAGTAAAAACGCATGTTGGGGGTTTTCTCTCCAGGTAGCTGGTACATAAGCCGCTTCTATCCATGCAGATTTACAAAGTTTTATGTCATAAATGACTGGTTCATTTCTCTTGAGACTGTAGTCTTTCCAAGCTGCATTAAATTAACATGCTGTCTACTTAAGACAAATTGTTGCCAAGAACCACCAGGGAAACATCCGTCTTTAACTTTCCTGGCTGTGCAGAGAAACCTTAAGTATAATTTGGACCATAACAAAAGGTAGGCTTGGAAGTTCCAATCAATTAAGTCTATTGAAAAGCATCACACAGCCTATCCATCAAAAAAAGGGCGAGAGTTTTAAACATTCAGGTAAATAGATAATCCATTAAGAAGACAATGCACATTGTGGCAAATGCCATCCTGGTTTTGTCAGCACATATTTATAGTCCTTGGATTCCCCTGCCCTCCTGCTGAGAGACTTCTATTCCTCCCTCTCCCAATCTTTGTTCTCTTATTCATCGCTAAAGGAAAACAAAGCAGAAAGCTGCACATACCCAGTGTTCCATTCTGGCCAAGTTCTTCCTCTATAGTAAAGAGGCGGTTGTACTTAGTCACCCGTTCGCCACGAGAAAGACCTCCCAACTTGATAAACCGGACACCAAGTCCAACAGCCTAAAGGGATGGGGAACAGCTTATTTTAAATGGAGTCATATTTTGCTCAACTAAAGTCTTTAGGGAGAAGGGACACTGCCCGTGTGCTGTTTTGGTTTACTCTTAAGTCAGTTTCTCATCTTACATGTGTAAAGCGGCCTCGAAGTTAATTTCTCTTCTTTCATCAGTAAAGCGGCCTGCTTACAAGCCGAGAAGAGTCAGAGGTACAGAGATAGTGTGACTATACATCAGATGCTCTCCTAGTCATGTGAGCGTGCTGACTTTTATATAAGAACACTCTGGCCTTTCTCACTTTATTTTAGGAGGTAAGATTGCAAGTGCACACCCCAGTCATTTCAGTATGCTCATCATTTTCCCAGGACCTCAATTTTTCTTCTTTTTACAAGTTCAAAGATTAGCTCTTTGCAAAAGGTAGTTGTCTGGGAGGAAGCAAGTCTTTCATAAAAGGTTACATGACTTTGTCTGCCAAAGTCCACCGTTCTCTGAGACGCCATTTCGTGATAAAAGCAGTGTTTTGGCAATTCTGCAATGGACCAGTTTTCAGCACTTACCAAATCGACAAGACTGTCATCAGACGACTCTCCTTCTGTGCTTCCAAACACAGCGATGTGCTTCTTACCTGTAAGCAGAGGAATTCTTTTCATTTTAGATGGTATGAATCTAATCAGCAGATAACAAGCCTCCAGAATAAAACTTTAAAGTTTGCCAGAGGTTTAAAACTGAAGAGTCAATCTGTTGACCACCTGAGAATTCTAACCCATACATTTGCATTTCTAGTACCCTGATTTTATCTGTATAGATAAATACTAATTGAATTCTATGTTTCATCAAATATAAGATACCCTCGATTGTAAGAGGCACCATTATTACCACTAAAGAGGAAAAATGCTCAAGTCAGATTGATACATTTTCTCAGACCACAACTGTAAGACAAAATCATCCATGTTCAATGTAGAAAAACATGCATCTTAGAGTCAAAATACATGGTAAGTACAAGGGCATCATATGCCTAAATAAGAGATTTCACAATTTATGTAAAATTTTGTTCAAAGGAAAACTGTCATTCTGAATGTTGACTTATTAGAAGAGCAGTGTTAATAGTACTTAATCAATCACTTTTAAAGATCTCAAAACCCCTTAAAATTTGCCAAAACCTACAAAGACTGCAATTCAGAGTTCTTCCTGTGGTGACAGTGTTGTGTCTTACAGGCAGGAGTTATAGCAGTGATCTAGTATGGGACAAAATGTCTGCTGAGTGCCAGGCCCAGGAGGAAAAGCCAGGCCCAGGGTGTCTCTCCCACCACCTGCAAGCTACCCTGCCTGGGTCCTAGACCGGGGAAGCCTGCAGGCGAAGGGACCACATGCATTTCATTCCATCTTCTGCCACTAGCCCAGGCCCCTGGCTCCCAATCTCCCTCTGAGTCTTGCACCAGCTCTGAGACTAGCCTTCTGCTTAGTTTCTGAGATCCACTCACGATACTCATGTTTCAGGCCCTGTGCATAAGTGAACAAGACTCCTGAGAACACCCTGGAAAAGGGGGAAACGGGATGAGACGGTTGGACGGCATCATCGACTCAGTGGATGGGATCATGTTTGATGTCCGGGAGATAGTGGAGGACAGGGAAACCTGGGATCACAAAGAGTCAGACCCGACTGAGCAAGCTGTGGTTAGTACTACAGTTGAAAATATAGGATGAGAAAGATTCAGAGCAGCCAGTGAGGGATGGGGAAAATTAGGAAAAGGCATCTACATATGAAGAGGTTTCATTTAGGTCAAGAAGATCTGAAGGATCAGGACTAGTTAGCCAACTAAATGGTATAGGGCAAAGCATTCTGGGCTGAAGGAACAGCATGTTCAAAGACCTGTAGGTCGTAAAGAGCTTGAAACTTTTGAGGAACTAAAAAAAAAACCAGTGTGGGCTAATGATTGGAAAAAAAAAAATCACTGTGGTGTCCTGTGAAGCTGAGAGAACAGTGGCCTCAGCCACATGTTTGTGGTAGCCCTCCCTGAAAGGGGCGACCTCCTGGGTGGGGCTGTTGTTAGAACATTATGTTAGAACATTATGAATTAAATCAGTAGTGCTGTTGAGCACTTGCAAATGGCTGGGGTGTTTTTCCCTCCAAGATGGATTCCATGCTTTTGAGTACCTGATACACTGCGTATTTAAGTTCACCATGAGTCTTTCAGATCTGCGCTTCCACTCACCGTTGATGAGGTTGGTTATTTCCACCAGGTCTGACATGGTGGTTTGGTTTGTGTGTTTTATGATCAGCCCGCTGTATTTGAGGATGCTGATGTTGCCCTCCTCCAGCAGTTTAGAGATGCTTTTGGATGCGGTGCCTGCAATTATGTAACACCTGGAACCAAGAGCATTATAGATGCTGTCCCACTGTTCAGAGTCCTGGGTGGATATTTAAGAATTGGTCATTACAGTGTATGCAGCATCATCACAAAACAACAGGAATCATATAGTAGATAATCAAAGTTAGACATCTTTATGAGATACACAAGCTAGGGATTTAGGGGGAGTTTTTGGTTTTTGCATTTTTCAGCTGAATGCTGCCGGTACCACAGCCACACAAGTTAATAGGCTTTGTGGAACAGAAACCTAAAGTGATTAAATTTGAGCTTAAAGATCTAGTGAGTAAAATGTTAATACACATTAAATGCACTTCTCCACATTGATTCTGACATCCCTCAAACACAGGCTCTTCCCACCCACTGTGTTATCCATGATGCTGCTAAAGACTGGCTGGTTGGAGGATGTTAATGTTATTTCTGGTAAAAAGACAATGCAAAGAAATGAGCCTGCAGGGCTGTAGACCCTCATTCCCAACACCCTTATTTTTAATTGGTGAGACCACCAAATGAAATGAAATGCTCATTTAAATAGTAATATACAGTCTTCCCAGCCATTGTACTAGATTTCCACCTGTCCCATTAGGACAGACAATATAGGTGCATCTTATCACATTAAAAAAAGAGCTATGGCCAGAGCCTGGGGACAAGAAGCAGAAGATATGTCTGGTGGGATGAAAGATCTGGGCTCAGCATCTTCCACAAGTGCTGGGATGTAGCCAGGCTGTGAAAGGAAAGATGGGACTGAGAGATCCTGGGGCTCCAGTAAGATCCAGCTCTCTTTCTGTCCCTCAAATTTTAATAGCTGAGTTATCTCAAAGAGAATAGCTGCTCACTGTATCTAATGGCTCTCAAGTTCATAAAATCAAGAATGTAAGTTTTGAAGTTTAAGTGGGTTAGGAAAAAAGACAGTTGTAGGCACATAGACAATCCTTGTCGGATGCATTAGTGCAAACAGGTCAGAAAACCCCAATATCTCAAATCTTTAAAAAAAATATGTTTTTTTTTTAACTTCTATACAAGTGTAGTAACTGAATTTAGGTTAAGGTTGAAGTTCTGTTTCCATGAGCACTTGGCAATGATGTGTGATTAACCTACTGAAGCACCAGCTAGCCCAGCAGGCATCAGTTAGGCTGCTGGTAAATACACAGGTACTCTGAAGTGCTGGGGGATACATGTTTTACTCCATAGATGGGCACACTCCTAGGTAATTCTGTTTCTGCTAGTCATTTGCCTGGTAAGTGCCTTTTCTCATAAACGCCCAAATAAAATATCCCAGCCCAAATTACATTTCAAATCTACAGATCCAAAAGAATGAAACTTTGTTCTGTTTTATTATAAAATTCAAGGTGAATCCTGTTACCTCCTTCCTGAAAGGGTCAATTAAGGCAATAATTGAAGGGAACTTGTTGATCAGATCCACATACAGGTCAACCATCTCAGTTGCATTTTTGTAGGTCCCCATCATCACTTCATATTTTCCTTTACTCTGATAAGTGTAAGGAAGATATTAAAATAAAGGCTAAATGATGAGTTCTTCAAACATTAAAGATGCAATTCAACTTCATTTTCATTCATTTCATATAAAAAACTTCAGGTTATTTTCAGGCCACCCTCACACGAGAAAACTCTGCCATTTACTTTAAATATCTGTGAAATATCAACCTGAGAAAATCAAGTCCGCATTTCTCTGGATGCCCCATACATCTCTTCCCACGGATTTCAGATGAAACCTTCTGCACAAAACAACTGCCTGCAGGGTAGGAGAGGAGTAATTCCTTACTTCAGTTTTAGGATGTGATGCCAGATACCTGGCAGCTTGGAAGATGGGCAGTCACATAAATTTCATAAACAGAATAGCAGTGCAAACCTGCCTACTCAACAGAACTACCATTGTTCAGCTCACAGTGAATGAATTTACCTTGCTTCCTTTACTGTGAATATTTTAAATTTGAAAGCAGGGCTAGACTTTTGAGATATGAACAAACAGTCAATATGAAATATAAAGAGACTCAGGTGAAAGCAAGCAGGCATGTTCTAGTAGTAACTATTGTTTTGGAAGTGGAATTCTAGTGTAGCCTGTTCATCTGAAGTCTGGAATGCCCCCAGGTACTTAAGTACAGGAGTGAACGGACCAGGAGAATTTAGTATGATGTCTGCAAACACAGCACCCTTATGTCCAGTCCAAATCTGTGTCCAGCAGTGGCGCCTGGGGCATTTAGGTACGGGGAGCGGGGTGGAGTGCACCAGAATGACTCTGGTTTACTGATGCCTTCCTGTGGCTGCTAACAGAATGGATTCCCTTAGAAGTAAGCAGGTTCCTAAGAAGTTCATCATTGAAAAGATTCTGTACTTTTTTCACGTTAAAAAGTGGTTAAGAACTCTTAGTTTCTATACTGCAAAACTTATACAATCTTGTCTTGTCAGAGAGGAAATGCTTTGAACTAACTTTGAACTAACTTTTTCAATGACTTTGAACTAACATAAGAAGAATTATCTGCTATCTAGCTAATGCATTTTACCGAATATATGCAATATATATCCGGTCTAGTTAGCGCTAGCAGTCAGTAATACGTTGTAGATGAAAACATGCAATTATTTTTCTTAATGGTATGCCTAGGAACCAATCATTACGTGAAGAATAGAAAATTACGTTAAACATTCTTTTCTGTGCTTAGTTTCTTTAGCAAACTAAAAACTTTAGAAGTCAGCTGATACTTAGGTTTCTAATATACTATTCAAGATTTCCTTTGAAGTTAAAAATTAGAATTGCAAATTAAAGTGGAATCCTATTTGGTCATGTCTCCTGAATTTGACATTAATTACCATTACTAATTCTTCTCCAAAAACTTCAATAACTTGGAAATACTTTTTATATTTAAAAAGTGAGTCACCAGCAGAAACTCCAAGAACCATGTGTCTGGAAGAGCTTATCAAGTCATAGTTACAACTGACTCACTTTTTATGCTTGACCAATTCAGCATTCATCAACCAAATGAATGTACTCAGCAGAACATACCAATTTGTTAAAATTATTTTTCAGCAGTTCTTATTTCAATGTAAGTAATCCATTTTAGTCACTTTTATTACAGAATTTCTCTAATTATTATGACATTTTCTGTTAATATTTAAGGTTATATGGCTATGTTATTGTCTGTCAGAAAAAGACTATAGGTTTCCCTTATGGCTTAGATGTAATGAATCCACCTACAATGTGGGAGACCTGGGTTTGATCCCTGGGTTGTGATGATCCCCTGGAGAAGGGTATGGCAACCCACTCCAGTGTTCTTGCTGGGCAAAATCCCATGGACAGAGGAGCCTGGCGGGCTACAGTCCATGGGGCTCCACAGAGTTGGATGCAACTAAGTGACTAAATACAGCATAACACATTGTCTGGTCATTAGCTAACTTGTCTTTCCCAACTCCATTTATATTTGGACCCTTCCATGATATTACTTGAAAAAATAGAATTTGTTTGGAAATATAAACAGATAGGCTCCTCTTTTGAGTTCTAATTTAAAAATAATGGGACCGAAACAAAAGGCAAAAACTCTGGAGTGGAAACTTACATAGTCCATCAGCTCATGTGCAGCACAGTTGATGGCTAGATGCAGGTCTGTTCCCAATTCTAGCCCCAGGTTTGCACAGATTCCTTGTATTAGGAGCAGTGGCTGCTCTATAGTGTCGTAATTAATGGTTAAACAGCCAAGATGGGAGATCTTGCCGGTGATCTGCTGCTGCAGGATCAAGAAAACCACGCATGTAAAAACAGCACGCTAAGGTTCTTGGAGCTTCTGGTGGTTGGCAGTTAATAACCAGACACAGCTCTCCAAACACAAGGTCCTCTGACTCTCCATTCACCCTGTCGCTAGTTCCTGCTCATGTCTGCATGACCTCTGGGCAGATGAGTGTTCTGCAGTATCTGGGAATAGTTTTCTTACTCCCGAGGTCTTCAAGTTTGACCTGGGAACACACTCCTCTCTCTTTAGTTGCCCATGTCTTCTCTCTGTCAGCTCTACTATTGAACACAGGCTGACCTGAGCCATGACCACCAGGCTGGTGACTCTTCAGTCTGGCCCTATAAGTGTCTGTCCTGCCTGTCCCTGACTCTGCCTTCTTCCTCTAGACCTGCTCTTTCCTGTGTCCCATTTTCCTTTAGAAGGATGTAACTGCTAAAAGGCCACATGATGCGAAGAACCGACTCATTGGAAAAGACCCTGATGCTGGGAGATGGTTGGATGGCATCACCAATGCAATGGACATGAGTTTCAGTAGGGTCCGGGAGTTGGTGGTGGACAGGGAATCCTGGCGTGCTGCAGTCCATGGGGTTGCAAAGAGAAAGACACGACTGAGCTGAACTGTTAAAAGGGCTTCTATGGTAGTTCACACAGTAAAGAATCCACCTGCAGTGCAGGAGACCTGGGTGCAATTGCTGGGTTGGGAAGATCCCCTGGAGGAGGGCAGGGCAACTCACTCCAGTATTCTTGCTTGGAGAATCAGCATGGACAGAGAAGCCTGGCAGGCTAGTCCATGGGGTCTCAAAGAGTTGGACAGGACCAACTAAGCACAGTGCCACACAACTGTAAAAATGTAAGTTAAAAAAATGTAACTCTTCTTCAAGAAAGGTTTTATTTTAAAAAGTATGGGAGACTCCAGCTGAAAGGACACAGCACAGAGGATGCACAACAGTGGAAGAAGGTGTGATGACCCAGATGACCCTGGGGAAAGGTCAAAGTCTGAGATTTCAGTGGGCCAGACGATTGCGGGCAGTGGTGGCCTGGCAGCCTGTTGCCAGAGAGGCAGGGACGGAATGATATTCCAGCTCTGGGTCCTGGCTGCCTGGGTCAGTCCCCTTGAAGGCATATCACCATGCAATTTCTGTTTATGTGAGCCCTGGTCCTGGAGCAGAGTGACTATGGGAGAGGGGAGGGGGCGGGGAATAAATGACCTGTCATATAGTGTGGGAAATGCATTTACTTACTTGGCCTCTTTTGCCTCCATCATGACTTTTTCTCACCTCTGGCTTTGGAGGGGGTGACTGCGGGACAGAAGATAGAGATATGTCACTCGGGATTTTCAGACACGTCTGTGGCAGCAGGCAGAGCTTTTGGTCCTCTGACCTGGTGACTGCTCTGGGGTCAAGCTGGTCACGCTGCGAGTCTCTCTTTCTCTCTCTCTCTCTCACACACATACACACACACACACACACACACACACATACACACACACACACACACACACATGGGTGATGACAACCACTCTTTAACTTCATAAACTTCAAACCATTTCTCAAAATGAGGTAAATGCTGGATCTGATGTATGTAATGTCATGGGACATTAAAAGTAAAGCTAATTACCAAAGAGACGCTCCCACGGTTTACAGTATTGACATAGGATGCACTTTCGGACTGCCCTGGTGGTGCAGAGGACAGAAACCTGTCTGCCAATGCAGGGGACATGGGCTCGATCCCTGGTCCAGGAAGATTTCACATGCCATGGAATGGCTAAGCCCATATATGCCACAACTACTGAGCCCAAATGCTATAACTACTGAAGTCCATGTGCCTAGAACCTGTGCTCCACAACAAGTTCAGTTCAGTTCAGTTGCTCAGTCGTGTCTGATTCATTGTGACCCCATGGACTGCAGCACACCAGGCTTCCCTGTCCATCACCAACCCCCAGAGCTTACTCAAACTCACGTCCAATGAGTCAGTGATGCCATCCAACCATCTCATCCTCTGTCGTCCCCTTCTCCTCCCGCCTTCAATATTTCCCAGCATTAGTCTTTTCTAATGAGTCAGTTCTTTGCATCAGGTGGCCAAAGCATTGGAACTTCAGCTTCAGCACAAGAGAAAGCCAGTGCAAAACGAACAAAGACCCAGCACAGTCGTCCCCACAAAAAGACGACGTACTTTAATGCCCAGCAGTCATTGGCTCTATAAGCGGGGGCGTGTTTGTCAAGAATCAACAAGGTTCATACTCAGTTATACGTAAAGAGAGAAGTTATCCTGCCTCCTTTCACTATGGAGTCAGCTGAACTTTCTATCCCTTGATATTAATAAAAATAATATAGGAAGCGAAGTGATGTGCCAAGAGAAAAGAGACAGTGAAACACACACGGCACTGCCTCAGGAAGCTGTGATCCAGTGATGGCAGACAGGTGAGATGCAGGTAACAGCCAGGAGGAAGGCGGTGTGATGGGGAGTGCAGAGCTGGGGGACTTCCCTCTGTAGAGTCAGGGAAGGGGACTTGGAAGAAGCTGATATCTGGTGGGAGGGGGGAATGTGGGAGTGCCAAACCCACCAGGTAAAGAGCAGTGTATTCGTGGCCCAGAGCTGAGCAAGGGCAAAAGTCGTAAAGCAGAGTTTTGCAACTGTGGCACTCTTGATACTTTGGCTGGGTGATCCTCTGCTTGATGGGCTGCCTGTGCACTGTTGGATGTGTACCAGCATCCCTGATCTCAGCGTTCTAGATGCCAGGAGAGCCTCAAACTGGGACAACCCAGAATGTTTTGCCCTTTGGGCAAAATCATTCCCCACCAAGAAGCACTGCCTTAGAAGAACACAGTGATACATTTTACTTTGTCAAAACTGAAAAAGAAAAATATCTCTATGGTTTCATAAAATACCGTTAAAAAGGCAGGCAATGTGGTAGAAGAAATCAGGTATTAATGTAACATGTAGAAAGTACTGAAGCCTTACAGAAAGAATTCCCAGATTATCAGTAAAGATAAACACAAATAAAAAGGGTAAAGAAATAAAGCAATCTGCAGAGATTTGTGCAGAATTTTACATGATTTTAAACACAAATCATGCTATATACTTGTATGTGTGGTGTCTGTGTGTACAAATACAAAACAAAGGCTAGAAGACCACACTCAATTTTTAACAGTAGGTCAGCTCTAGAGATGGAACTGGAACTGAGGGTGATAGTGAGTGTGGGGTCCAGGTAGGTGGAGTTAGCACAGGGGTGGGGTGGGGGGTACTAGCTCTACCAGTATTTGAATTTTCATAACATTCATGAGCTTTGTATAATTAAAAATAAACTGTATAATTAAAATTGTATAATTAAAAAATTGAAAGTCAGGATGACTGCAGAAAGCTCAAATATCCTGAATTTCTAATATTCTAAGTTGGATTTCCTCCACCTCCTCTGACAACCACCACCTCTAGGCATTGCTCATGGCGGTGTCAACTCTGAGCACATTGCCTATATTCAGCTTGTTTACTCCTCACAATGTATCATATCCATTTTGTGGAAGAGGAGCCTGAGGCAGAGATGTTATGTAATTGGCACAAGGGCACACAGCTAGTAAAGGGGCAACGCAAAAGGCAAGGTGAGGGTTAACCTGTCAAGTCTGAGTCTCTGTAGGCTGGTCACCCATAAGGAAGTTGGCCTCCTGAAAAGCACCCCGGAAACTGGCTCCAGTATGAATGTGAAAGTGCTAGTCACTCAGTGGTGTCTGACTCTTTGTAACCCTGTGGACTGCAGCCCGCCAGGCTCTTCTGATCATGGGATTCTCCAGGCAAGGATACTGAAGTGGGGAGCCAGTGCTTAAAGCAATTCTGATCAACTGTAGGGTATGGGCCCAGCCACCTGCCCCCGTTACTGATTCAGTGCTGGCAAGATCGCATTGGAGCCAAAGTTCCTTCACATCATACTGAGATGGCATCTTGGCCCCCATCCTGCAGGAGGATCAGCAAGTGCTTCCTAATCATGTAGTTTAGAAGCCTCACACTATGTAACTGTGGGCTCAGAATTGAATCCTGGAACAGAAGGACATTAGTGGAAAAACAAGAGAAATTTGAATAAAGTCTGGAGTTCAGTTAGTAGTAACGTAGACTTTTGGTTTCCTAGCTGTGATAAATGTGCTTCGGTGATGTATCCTGTTAACCCTGGGGGGAACTGGGGTGAGGAGGTATTTGGGAACTCTCTGTACTGATTCTGCAGCTTCTCTATAAATGCAATATTATTCCAAAGTGAAAGACAAGGATCGGGACCCTCAGCCCACCACCTCACTGTGCATGACCCTGGTCAGAACATGATGGTACACTCCTGCATCTGAACATGTATTCCTGATACATCCGTGGAGAGAGAGGCACTTTGTGGACACAGTGGAGGAAGGAGAGGGTGGGACGAATTGGGAGGGTAGCATTGAAACATATACACGACCATCTGTAAGACAGCCAATAGGAAGCTGCTGTGTACCACAGGTAGCTCAAACCGGTGCTGTGTGACAACCTAGAAGGGTGGGGTGGGAGGGAGGCTCAAGAGGGAGGGAATACATGGATACTTACGGCTAATTCACATTGTTGAATGGCACAACACAGCATTGTAAAGCAGCTGTCTTCCGATTTAAATTAATAATAAAGAGTATGATGGAATAACCTGGTGCCTCTATAGCTGCCCCCATCCAGCCTCTATGACATCCCCCTCACGGGCTTCTTGGTCAAGGGTACTCGTTTGCCCAGCACTGGGATTCTGAGCAGGCACAAGTGGCTGTGCCTGCACCATCATACCACGCGGCCTCTCACGATCCGAGGGGCCAGATCCTTCCCTCATAATCTTTGCACAGGGCCAGCTGCCTCAGAGATCAAAATGAGATGATTAAGTTCCATTAGAAACTGGCCCCATAGCTAATGAGGGAACGTATGAGCTTGGATCATAGGGGAAACCCAAAGAAAATGAGTATGTTTTCCTATCTGTAATAACAATATTGATCACATTGCAAAATGAACTATAATTTCGACACCAAAAGGTATATAAGCATCAGTTATTAGATACCGTATATCCTCTTTACATACCATTTCAACTGCTTTGTTGATGTGTTTCTGAATTTCCAGAAGCATCTTCACACCCTGTAAGCAGAAGAACTGTGATCTTCCATAACTGCCTGATAGCTCAGCTGGTAAAGAATCTGCCTACAATGTGGGAGACCTAGGTTCGATCCCTGGGTTAGGAAGATCCCCTAGAGAAAGGCTACCCACTCCAGTATTCTGGCCTGGAGAATTCCATGGGCTGTGTAATCCACAGGGTCGCAAAGAGTGGGACATAACTGAGTGACTTTCACTTCACATTTCACTCCACAACTGCAGTCTAGAATTTTAAATATAAACACTTATACCACACATGAATATTTCTGACTCAGAATATTTGTAGGGTCTTTGATAAGACATCCTGGGTAGTGAATTACATATGGCCTACAATATCAGAGGATTAAATGCTAATCTTCAACTCTCCATTTTTATTTGGGTGAAAATGAATGAGAGGCTATTCCTTGTTATCCTCTCTTCACTGTTCAGAACTGGCTGGTTTAGTTGGTTGGGTCACGTTAACTTCACTCTCTTTCATGGTCTCCTGACCAACCTTCTTGCAACACATGTCACAGGTCATCAAGGGCTTCTGCATGGCAGTGTTTGAATTAGTATAAATCCACTGTCACTTAGAAAGGAGGAGGATGTATTCTGCTGACGGTGGGATCTGCATACGGAGACAGATGAAGAATGGCATGCCAAATGCTCTGGTACCCAAATAGCACGACAGATATTAACTGAAGGAAAGATCCTGGCGCCACGATCTGCACGGGATCTGACAGATGGTGTGCCAGATATAAATCCCAGTCTTTCAAAACTGATAAAAGCGAGGTAATGCCTATTCCCCTTAAAAAAACAAATTCTTTATCATAAAGAAGTCATCTTGAGATTTAAAAAAAAATGATTTTCACTAGGTTGGATAAAATATCAGTCACTATGTTGCTCAGAGGAGACGGAGCTTCCTGTCCTTTTCCTGTAAACATCCACTACAGAACACGAATGCTTAGTTCTCCCTAATGCCTAACTGGCAGAATATTTCATGAAGATATAAAGAGGCATATTGACTCATTTACGCCACTGAAGAACAGTTAAGACACTAACAGACTTCTGAGTAGTAAACATGCCACTTAGGATTCCTTCCTTCCATATTCCATAAACGTGCTTAAACCTCTCTTACATGCCAGGCAATCTGCTAGGCTCTGCAGTTCCTACTTGACAGAAGGGCTCCTAGGAAAGTGCCAGCTTCCTCTTGTTGCAGCCATTGTGCATAGACTAGTAAATAAAGATATCTCAGTTGTCCCAAAGAACATCCTTCTAGCACTCTCAAGGCTTCTCCGTGAGCCTCTCAGTTCAGTTCAGTTCATTCACTCAGTCGTGTCCAACACTCTGCGACCCCATGGACTGCAGCACGCCAGGCTTCTCTGTCCATCACCAACTCCCAGAGCTTGCTCAAACTCAACTGTGAGCCTCTAGCGTGAGTCAAGGTTATAAAGAGCCGGAGATCCAAGGTGGTCTAAATGTGGTCCCCTTTCATTTGTGGTCTTGTTTTCTTCCCACTTCCCTAATTTCCTATTTTTTTTTTCTCATTTTTAATTTAATTCCTTTTCCCTTGGTATCATAAGCCTTGGGGGCATCCACTAAAAATTCACTAATGATGAAGTTTTTTTTTTTTTTAAAGAAAAGGTAGTTTGAGATAATGTAAGGTACTTGTTTAGCTGTTAATCCAGGATGGGGTATACAGATCACTTCTTTCATCAAATTCAGCTTCCCAGGTGATGACTTCCCACAGCTGACCAGCGACACCATCAGAAGAGGTATAGTTAGCTTTTCTGGCTGTTCCTGGAATGGGGCGGCGGGGAGGGGGAAGCAAGAGGAAATGAGGAACATGGTTCATTCGTGTTGAGACACTCATGGTCCTTGTAAAGGTGTGTAATGGGCACTAACCTGATGGTGCTTCAATAATGCAATGTTCAGGTAGAGAGGATTATTGTCCAGCACGGCACTGGTTTTGGCAACAGCCAGTGACACGGCCCCTATGGCCATGCTGCCACAGAGGACAGGCTCAGGAGGTTCTGCAGGTATAACTGGTTTTTCTGCAGCAGTCTCCATCCTTCCTGAAGAAAAAAAATATTGATAAAAGATTGCTTTCCAGAAAGCAAAAATGCGACTATGATAAAACTGTATTTTTCAATGTTTTACTTACAGATGCAAAGGCCAAGCATAAAGAAAGGATGAAAAACTGAGGCTGGGAAGAATGTATCCACCACTTCCACCCCTGAGAAGTTTCTGTCTGATGTCACTACCCTCTAACATCCAAAGAGTCCTCAGCCATGGATTTTGCCGAAGAAATTTTAGAATATTCAGTATTAACTCCTTCCACAGTCATGTAGGGTAGAAATTGTTATCTCATCTAAATGAAGGCTTAGGCTTAAAGACTTGCCCCACATTCAGCAGAACGTGAATTTAAGGAGAGCATCTGAACAGTCTTGTGAATTCCAAAGCCTTTGTTTTTCTGTGTTCCACCATTGCTCCTGCACACCCACTTTTGTGTTGAACATCTCATGTGTATATCTAACTGGTTACCTTGCTTGCCAACCCCAAGCAGATGCCTTTTTCTATGAGGAATTCCTTCCAGATCTAACCATCCACTCAGAATCCCCATCCATCTTTCACCCTCATATATTCTCAGCCACTTAGTCATAATTAGTCAGACTAATTATGGCACCAGAGTGTCCATAATAAATCTCTCATTCCCCTCCTGTTCTCTGCTTTTCCACAGCTGCTGACCTAAGTCAGGTATGTTAGGTAAGTGGAGTCAGATGTATAAGCACCCAGCACACATTAAATGTTTAGCAAATTATGGTTCCCTCCTACTCCTTCCCTTCTTACATTCCAAGTTCTATTAGTCAAAAGGAACCACCAAATGACCACCCACTGGTGGTCTCTACCTATGTTTTAGCAGTGGCCATTCCCACCTTCCAGAAGATTGGTCTAACATGATTCTTCTGCTTTGGGCAACTCTCCTCCTCTGTCTGGGCTTCAGCATCTGAATCCATGAAATAAGAGACCTTGTCTTCATGATCTCTTTGGTCCATGGTTCTGGTGCTTTCTTACTCAATGGAATCCACATTCATCTGGTATTTAGTCTATTCCCAACATCATGCTAGGAGCTGGCAGTTCTAAATTGAATGAGGCATTATTCATGCCTTCAAGGAGCGTGTTGTAACTGGATGGACATACAAAACCCTGTTACAACACTAGCAGCAGCTCTGGAATTAACATATTAGAGGAACGGAGGTTAACAGTATGTTGGAAGGCATGGAACAAAGGGCCATGATAACTTCAATTATATGCCTTAAAATGGCAAGGTCTTCCAAAGACAGTTTTCATTAATATGTTATGTGGGACTGCAGAAATGTTGGTTATGCATATCAAAGGACACCATTAATTTTTAAAATATGGAGTGGCTTTCTGATGAGCTAATGGGAAATTTGAGAAGCAGTTGAAGGTCTCCATGTCACCCCCCACCCTCTCTGCTTTGGGCAGAAAGTACTGTTCAGAATACGGTTCAGAGTACTTTGTTTACTAAGTGCTTACATCTGGGTAAAAAATATTTTTTATCTTACAAATAAAAATGGAAGGCAAGATGGGGTAAAACCGTGCTGACCTAACATTGTAGCTTCAAGCAAGGAAATGGCATGGAGGATGGATGGATGGTACCTGGTGGGAACCCAATCCAGGTGTGCAGCAGAGAGACTTGAACTTGAAAAGATAGTCCAAGCTTCAGCCTTTCTTCCCCCACCTTTGTTACTTATGGTTGTTTCTATAAGATGATAAGCCACTGACCTTGCTTTTGTCCTTTTTTCCTGGATGGACGTGGAGGAGGAGGTGGGGGTGGTGGTGGCTGGGGTGAAAGCACTGTTGAGTCTTCTAGGTTCTTTTCCAATTCTTTTCTCTCCTTATCTTCTTGTACTTTATTTTCAAAGAATGTCCTTAATGGCAAGAAAGTATGGGTTTATAATGAGATTATTTAGGAATATCGCTTGTAACTTTGGTCACGTTTTAGTGCTGACCCTAAAATATTTCAGTAGCTAACTCTGCTTTTTAAGCTACCTAAGAACAAATCTGCTTCAATTTCCAGGACTAAAAAATGACACTGTTATAAAACCGTGTTCAAGAACTGAAAATCATTTTGGCATGGAAATAAATGTTTAAAGATTTCGGATGCTCATTTTAAAAATTATCTGAGCCCTTTTTATTATTTTTAAAGTAAAATTTGAAGAAACAATTTGATTAAGGGCTACTGGATTTTCTTTTTGAATACATGACCATCAGACAAAAGATGAGGCAAGCACAGACAGTGAAATACATAGCACTATATGCAGGACTGACTTTTTCTTTTTTATTTGAGGTTGGTGCTTAAAATGAACAGCTAAAAAACTTTTGGGAACCCCAACTTAGGTACCTCTAAATAAAATTTCAACTCCATGGAATAAAAAGAGGCTAAAAATTTCCAGAGACAAAAAAACAACAAGCCAAAAAAAAAAAAAAGATATGGGAATCAAATTTGCATCAGATGCTGGTGGGGCTGTGCCTTTAAAGTACTGAAAGAAACAGATTTCAAAGGAGAATTCCATACTCAGCTAAACAGTCAAACATGAAGGCAAAATGCTAACATTTTCATACATGTAAGAATACCCTTACCAAAATTTATATCCCAAATACTCTTTTCTCATCCTTACTTTAAAAAAAAAATTATATATTTATTTTGGCTGTGCTGGGTCTTCATTCCTGGCTGAGTATTTTCTCTAGTTGCAGTAAGCGAGGGCGACTCTTTGTTGCGGTGTGTGGGCTTCTTGCGGTGGCTCCTCTTGTTGCAGAGCACAGGCTCGAGGCACGCAGGCTTCACTAGTTTTGGCTCTCAGGCTCTAAAGCTTGGACTCAGGACTTGTGGACTCCTGAGCAATTCAGGACTCAGTTGCTCGGCAGCATGTAGAATCTTCCCTGACCAGGGATCAAACTTGTGTCCTCCTGCATTGGTAGGAGGACTCTTATCCACTGTACCACGAGAGAAGCCTTCATCCTTACTTTTACAGGATGTAATCCAACAATTCAAGAAAGCGGAAGATATGGGATCCAGGAAACAGGAGAACAATGAAGGGATATCTTATGGCATCTCTGTAGTAGGTCTAGAGAGGAACAACTCAAGACGGGAGATTTGGGAGGGAAAATTCCAGGAAAAAAAGGAATGTAATGAAATAGAAGGTATGACTGGGAGATTAGGAAAACAATTAAGGATATGTCAATAGCAAATAACACACACAAAGAAGTGGAACAGCATTCAAAAACTGGAGGGCTACAATCCATAGGGTTATAAAGAGTCAGACACGACTGAGCACGTACACGTGCATGCACATGCACGCACACATGCTATTTATAAAAGACATAACTAGAAGTTACACAAAATTATATAGCATTCAAAACCTGTAAAAAGCTATTCAAAAAGTTTTTTTATAAGGTCATGATACAACTCTGATGCAAACTAAAATGTGAAGTTACACGCAATTAAGCAAATGATAAAACTTAAAGAGAGAGAATCCAGTTGACCTTCTTTGGCCATGAGGATTGTGGCACTGATCCACACAAAAGGAAAAGTAATGGTAACCCACACGTGGTTGGGTTAGCTATGTGAACTATGCTCACATAGCCATACTTCCTTGGTTTGCACATTTTAGAGTCAACCTGTGGGCAAGGCCTGGAATATTTGACTGTGTTTGGAGATCAGAACATAAGCACCACCCACTGGGTCATATAAAAGGATAAGAGAGGCTCATGGGGATGATGCACCTGAGGATGTACAGGGGGGAAAAGACGATGTCTTAATTCTTCATCCTTTTCCAGAGAAACTTTCACTGAATCCTAGGAAACCCTTATGCATAAAAAGAGGCCAAAAGGCCTTATGTGGCCTTACACACTAAAAGTTTAATAGCAGCGTTTTCAGAAGAAAAACAAGATTTTATGCTACATGTTGATGCTTTAGCATATGTTCCCTAATTGACTTCCCAACTGTACCCTGTAGATAGGATACACCTGTTTCACTGGCAGGTAAAATGGAAAGAAAATAGGTACATAATTATACTGGACACTTAACGTTTCCAAATTTCATACTTACCTGAGCACCTGATCCACCTCAGCCTGGTTGGAGGGCACTAGGCCCTGGAGCTCCTCAGTGATGGTTTCGTTGACCCACTGCACTGCGGTGCTGACAGCATCCAACCTTTCTAATTCCTCGGCTTCAACTAGCTCAGGTGAAGCGTTCTCATGGACTTCAAAGTGAGTTGAGATCACCACAGAACATATGTTCTGAAAACAATATAAATGTGTTCTACATTTTCCCTGCCTTTCACAGGAAATAGGAAATTGAATGTATCCAACTTTAAGGTACATGATATTTTATCACCAATTTCAAAGAGAAAATGAGAATCTATAATTTTCTTTGAGATATTTTTATAGCTATTGAAACACGGTGGAACCCAACTTCAAGGAATGTTTAAAATTATTACCTTGTTAAAATACTCTTATAAAAACCTTACATTGAACTTCATTTTTATCATTGCCTCTCCAAAAAATAGCAAAACGGAGACAGATTTAATCATAATTATTTTCATGGATAACAATGAATTTTTCTTCATGTAGGTCAGCCTACATATCTATAATTCTATGTAAGTGAGTGAAAGTCACTTAGTCGTGTCCGACTCTGCAAACCCATGGACTGTAGCCTGCCAGGCTCCTCTGTCCGTAGAATTCTCCAGGCCAGAATAATGGAGAGGGTAGCTGTTCCCTTCTCCAGGGGATCTTTCCAACCCAGGAATCAACCCATGTCTCCTGCACTGCAGGCGGATTCTTCACCATCTGAGCCACCAAATCTAGGTAAATCTTTAGGTAAATACATGAATCTATAACCCTATCTGCAGAGTATAGAACTCATGACATTAGCAGTGTCAGAGTTTTAAAACTATTTTTGCCCCATCTTCAGATCACCTTCAGGTCTGTACCAACAGTGCACATAATAAACCATGATGGCAGATTGTATGATTCATGCTTTGTGTTCATAACTGCCTACAAATAAATACTGTATGTGTAGTTCACAGACACTGAATTTCAAAACATTAATTTTCCACTATTTAGACAGTAAATGCTAATAAATGCAGTGGAGCCAAGACAAAGAGAACAGGTTTAAGTTGCTTCCTACCTTGGGAAAATTTTGAATGGTGCAGAATATTTCCACTTGGAGGGTTGGAAGCCCAAGTCCATCCAGCACATTTTTCCCCACGACTTTGCATATGGTGGGAGGTTTTGCAAGTTTAGAAAAGCAGTTTGCCTTCAACACACACACACATAAAAAAACACAAAAATACCACATCTAATTTATTTCTGAAAGGTCCTTTACATTTACTCTAGTTTCTACTAAACCTCTCTGTGAATGTCCTCATTCTGGGATTAGTCTAGCAGCTCTGTGGGAACAGAAAGAGACTTGGATTTAGCCTCTGGAACATGGGGCAATTTGTCTATTGAACTCTCACAGGAAACTCACAGGCGTGTCTTTATTTAAAGGTCCTGGTCCATTCTTTATGAGCCTTAACCTATCCTTCCATCCAAGATGCTGAAGTCAATTAACTTCTAGAAAACTGCGATGCATTCAAACCTAAGCCTTAAGTGGGTTCATTATTATTCTCCCCAACAAGGCACCTGATAGTTTAAAAGGTGAAGACTTATACGTAGGCTGTACTTCATTTACCACCAGGTCATGCATAGAACTACATGTTCAAAGAGGACTGTTGGAACCTAACTGACTGTTGAAACCTAAGGTTTCACTGACGTGGAAGAGCAGAGGTCATTCGGAAGTTGATCCAAGAAACAGAAGAAAAAGAATGAAGCTGAGGGAGAAAATCCTCTCAAGGAGCCTGAGTAAAAAGATCAAGGGACTTCCCTGCTGATCCAGGGGCTAAGACTCTGAGCTCCCAATGCAGGAGGTACAGGTTCCATCCCTGGTCAGGGAACTAGATCCCACATGCTGCAACTAAAAAAAGATTCCACATGCCACCACAAAGACCCCGCACAGCCAAATAGATACACAAATAAAAATTAAAAGATTCACGACTCTGCCCCTGTCCTGAGGGCTGGGAGAGAAGGAAGAGGGGTGAGAGAAGGCCCACCCCCTCACCCTCTTTTATCTTCAGACAGTATTCACTCTTTATTTCCACATAGCAGACCAGGCCTCTGATCTTTCAGTTCAAAATCCAATGACCACAACCTACCTAACTGGTCATCTCACATCCATCGGCAATGTGCCAGCACCGAGGTGGTGCCCAGCAGAACTAAAGCAAAAGCCAATTTTCAAGCATCCATGCATTTTAAGGATGACAGTTTGTTTATTACTGTGTGTGCGTGTGTGCTCAGTCGCTAAGTGTTTCCAACTCTTTGCCACCCCATGGACTGTATCGGTGAGACTTCTCTGCCCATGGGATTCCCCAGGCAAAAATACTGCAGTGGGTTGCCATTTCCTCCTCCAGGGGAATCTTCCTGACCCAAGGATCGAACCAGAGTCTCCTGAGTCTCCGGCAGTGGCAGGCAGATTCTTTACCACAGAGCCACCTCAGAAGCCCAGGTATATAGTAAGTATCGAAATGAAGTTAATAGAATCAGAGAAGAAAAATATTATCTAGTTTAACTTTTGTGTATTGGTGAGTTCAATTCAACAAGTAATGAGCACCTACAATGTACCACATATTGTGTAAGGAGGGAAATAGAACTAACTTTTAAAAAATGTTTAATATATACCTTAAAGGAGTGACTTGGTCTTGTTTATCACTGTATCACATTCCACAGCGCCTGGTATATTTGGGATTTCATAAATTGACTCATTGGAAAAGACCATGATGCTGGGAAAGATTGAGGGCAGGAGGAGAAGGGGGTGACAGAGGATGAGATAGTTGGATGGCATCACTGACTCAATGGACACAAGTGTGGGCAAACTCTAAGAGACGGTGAAGGACAGGTAAGCCTGGCATGCTGCAGTCCTTGGGGCTGCAAAGAGTCAGATATGACTTAGCAACTGAACAACAAGAACAACATTTGAGTCCTGCATGCATTAATAAAGGCCAGACACAACCTGTCTAACACAACCTTGGGCACACTGTATACATTATATTATTAACTTCTCAAAACAACTCTACAAGGTGGTATCACCTCAGTTCCACAGATCAGCAAACTGAATTCCAGAGGGAAACCTGTCCAGGATAAAATAACCAATGTCTTCATTAACCAATGTCTTAAAATAACCGATGTTTACTGCTTTGTAACAGACTTAGTGGCTCACGCCATTTACTTGCTCATGATTCTGCAATCTAGGCTGGGCTTAACTGGGCAATTCTTTGGTTAATCTTGCCTGGGGTCACCTATACAGATTGTCATCTGTAGGCTTGACTCAGATCAGAGTGCTCAAAATGCTTTCATTCTCATGTGCAGTGTCTCAGCCAGGATGGTTGGAACATCCAGGGGCTGGCAGGCCATCTGTCTTTCTCACAGCGTATCTGGGAGGTCTCTCACATCTGCTAGGGCCTATCTCTACACGATCTCTCTCTCTTTTGCTCTCTCTAGCATGGCAATTGGATTTCCTTTCAGCATGACTAACTTCCAAGACGGGGTATTCCAAGAATACATCATGCCAGCCCTTACCAAACTTGTTTGCATCACACTTGCCAAGGTCCTATGGATCAAAGCAAGTCATAAGGCCACAACCCCAGTCAATATAGGAGGGACTTCCATAAGACTGTTCATTCCGGTGGTGTGGTTCATTGGGGACCATCAATTTAACAGTTCATTACTGCTACAAAGCAGCAGAGCGAAGGATCAAATCCAATCTGCCCGATCCCCAATCACAAACTCTTAATCATAAGTTTTATGAAGGAGCAAATAGTATTGCTATTGCCCACAGGGATCTCTCCTATCCCTGAATTCCTCTAATATGTAAGAGAAGCATGGCATTTGAGCTGGACACAGGAGGTTGTATAGTATTTCAACAGGCAGACAACAGGGGTAGATACTTTAGGTAGGGGGAATAGGATAAGCGAAGGGGAGGGAATTGGGAAACTTCACATTTTAAAAAAAGTCAGCGGGCCCTTGTAGAGGAGCAGGGGAAGGAAGTGTAGATAAGCCTGTATACCAAGGTAGGGGCGAGCGCTGTGAGTCACACACACTGGAATGTGTTGGATCTTACTAAGCGTGCAAGAGGGAACCACAGGAAGTTCTGAGTGAGAGAATGATGGTCAGATATGGGATGAGGAACACTACTCTGGCAGCATTAGTGGGGTGAACTTGATGGGGGAGGGGGAGAAACTAGCTGAGAATAAAGAGGGCCAGAACTGGGGCAGCAACTGAGAAAATGGAGGTGACTTTATGTCACCTGCTGAACATTCGTCAAAGCCCAGGCCAAAACTCCCAGATGCTACAGCCCACAGGGATCTTGCCCACCCCTGAGTTTCTTTTACAAACACACAGTGATCTATTCCTCAGTCTGGCACACAATTCTGTATTACCCGATCTATTACTCCAGTTATTTTATGTATCAGTGGCCCTTGTCCCTAACTGAGGTATAAGTTCCCAAAGAGCTGTGCCAACCGAAGTCCTAGTTGCCTAACAGACTGGGAAGAGCATTACACTGGGGCAAGCGTCCAAGTTTCCAGTTTTAACTTCTGCACTAATTCATTGTGAGACAACAGCTTGGGGTCTCCCTAAAATGAGGAAGTTAGACTAGTTAACTTTCAAGAATTCCCCTGGCAAGAGACTGTGGAAAGAGAATGGAATTGGGAGTTGCATTCACTCATTCACCATGAGTGTCCACTATGGACTCTGCTAGGTACTAGGGACACAGACCTGGTTTGATTTCTGTCATTCACAATGTTCCTTGAGAAAACCATCTAAATTCAGCGGGCCACAGTCCCTTTATTTGTAATACGAAATCATAAGGTTTACTTCACCGTGGTCCTAGGGATGAAGTGATATTACAGGAACCACATAACACAAGGTGCGTCAATAAACACCTCCCCTCCGCCCTCCCCCGAGTTGATGCATCGGCCAAGACCGAGAAAAACAAATATTTGTGGAACATCCCCTATATTAACTGCCCCGACAAGATGTGATTTTAACCCTGTAGACACATTGCTTCTTCACTGCACTTACATACTCTGCTTGGTGCTGTCATTCTGCCTCACTGTAGTGCGAATCCCTACCAGTTCCAACCATATCTTTCAGAAGGTGGGTGTTGGTTGTACTTACAGGTCTGGAAGTGAGAAAACGCCTGCCTTTGTTTCAACTGCCCACGGCTTTTAAGACTAAATATGCGCCAGATGGTGCGCTGAGCAGAGGAGCTATGTGAAAAGGCGAACCCCCACCCCACCCCTCTCCACAGGAGCTCACAAGCCGCCTGGGAAGGGCTTCAATACAAAATAGGGGGTGCTACAAGGCCGCTGCAGGACGATCAATCCAGGGCGAAGTGGGCAAGACTTTGATCTGAATTTGAAGTTTAGGTGCGAGCTGGTCAGGTGGGACAGGCATCCCCGGAGCGCACGCAGGGCACACAAGCCAAGGAGCCGAGGTTTGAAATCGACAAAAACCTGGCAGAGATGGGAGCCTGCTGGTTACGAGGCCCCAGGGTGGGCTGAAGACTACGCTGTAGCGAAAGCCAAAGGCGTTCGCCCCGTGGTCAAAAGGAAGTCGCTGAAGGTTGGTAAATTGAGCTACAAGGTATGAAGGACTGTGATTAAAGGAGATAACTGGCAGCCGGACAGGTCCGCCCAGAGGTAGTGAGGATGCCTGCCAGCCCCTGAGCTGTCGCGCCGTAGCTACAAATCCGCCCAGAGCCCTCTTTCCTCCAGCAGTTTTCAGTCCACTACTTTCTCTCTCGAGATTCCTTTAGCCAGGTTTCCACTCCGTTTCTTCCCTTCAGGGTCCCGGCGCCGCGTCAACCCAGCCGGGCCCCAGCGGCGGCGCGCGTGCGCGAGTCTGCGGCGCAAGCGCCCCGCGTTGCCGCAGCGCGGGGCGGGGGGAGAGGGGCTGGAGGGAAGAGGGCTCTGGTCCCAGGTCCCTACCAGGTGCCCGTAGACGTCGGCAGGCTGGAGGTAGAAGGTGGAGTTGAGCAGCTCTTCCAGCCTGCGCGGAACGTCGTTCTCGCGGTAATACTCCATCGCCTGCTGCTTCAGCTTCTGCAGCTCCCTAGTGGTCCCACAGCTGCGGCCGCCGCCTTCTTCCCCCATGGTAGGAGATTTAAGGCTACAAGCGGGGGTTAGCCTGGGGGCCTGCGAGCGTCCTCCCTGTCGCTAGGCAACGCAGCGAGATCCCGATCTTAGATCTCGCGAGGCTTCCTGTCCTCCCGCTTGCGGCTGACGCGAATGGCTCCTCCGCCCTCCTCCCTGGGGTTTTGAACCCACCCCCCCACCCCGGGTTTGGGGCTTATTTACTCTTGAGACAAGCGCCCTCCTGGCGTGGTTTTCCAGGACGTGTTTCCTTGACGGTTTTCAGATGGGAAAACGGTTAACACTCTCACGAAGCGCTTTTTGTGGAGACGTGAGAGAGGGTTAGCCCCTCCTCTCCCAGCTGGGGACTCGAACCCCGGGTGGCGCCAGTTCTCAGGTGGCCCTGGGACTCGGGCCATCAGGCCTTCCCCACTTTCCCCCAAGTTCCTCGCGATCAGGGAGCTCCTCCGGGCGGCGGCGTCTGCCGGCCCCCTCTCCTGGGGAGGTTGTTAAGAACGCTGGGTGTCCTTCCCTAAGCTGTGGAGGACTCCGCGCAGTTCGTTCATTAGGCTGGTGTTTATCTGCCCTGAGCCGTGCAGTGTGCTGGCTGTGGATACCGCGATGTCCAGGAGAGATCCAGCTACCCGCCCTCCTCTGGGAGACTACTGGGGTGAAATTTTACCGTAGAAGGAAGAACAATGTGGGCCCCCCCCCCCCCCCGCCAAATTTGGGATGTACCTTAAGGACCGGCCTAGGTTGGAGGTGTTACAGGCAAGCCTTGAGTAGGAGAAACAGCAAGGGAGAACTGTCCTTGGGTCACGTTCCTTCTCCAGAACCTTCTTCAGAGGCTGCCTGCGTCTTGCCCCTTTTAAATCCAGACTGCCTGCTTGGCTTCATTCCACCTGCCAGGTGTCCCGTGCACTTATACAGCTTCTCAATGTGCGCCCTCTGCTCTCGATTCTTCTGCTGCAGATAAGGGCTGAGATGGACCCGGTGTCCTGTTCCCCTCTGTCCTTGTTCCTGGCCTAAGCAGACCATTTAAAAGATTCATGCTGCACTTTTGCTCATCTGGAAAACAATCTTAACTACTCTGCTACTAACTACTAACTAATCTTAACTATTCTAACTCACAAGTCAGAATAAAATGAGAGAGTGAGAAAACACTTTGAAACAAGATAGTTATTTTCAATAGAGGTCGGTATTTGTATAAAAATAAAGTGATTCTATAAATAACTGTTAAGGAACCCAGAGGTGTACCTCCTTCTGAATTCTGTGGGCGTTTTCTCCAGTTCTCTAAATGCAGGGGTCTCCAACCTCTGGGATCTAATGCCTGATGATCTGGGGTGGAGCTGAGATAGTAATAATTGAAACAAAGTGCACGATAAATGTAATGTGCTTGAATCACCCCAAAACCATCCCCCCACCTCCAGTCCTTGAAAAAATTGTCTTCCGCAAAACCCCTCCCTGGTGCAAAAAGGTTGGGGACTGCTGCTAATGGAACATCTCACTTTCTGGGTTGTTATTGATCATCATGGGCCTACCTTGTCCTTGGTAGATGGAAATTCCTCCATGGTGGAGCCAAGTCTGAGTCATCTTCACAAGTACAGCAGAGCCTGGGCCTCCCACAGGGATAGAACATGAATAGGTGTTGAGGGAACTTTTATTCAGATAAGCTATTGCTGTTGCTGCTGTTCCCATTCCTCCATGCACCTTTCCTCGTATCACTTTAGATGGAAGCCTCCCCCTTCTCTCATGCACCCATCCTTTAATTCCTGTTGAGTCCCACATCTTCAAAAAAGCCATGCCCCACACTTCAGCTCTCACTGTGGCCTTCCTTTCTTCTGAACTCCTTCCCTGCTTGCAGTGTGAGCCATAGGGATCAGCCCTCACGGATGTCTTGACTCATGTGATGTCTCACTGGAAGATTGGAAGCATCCTGGGCTGGGACCATGATGTCTCAGAGCCTTCCCTCTATGACCTACTGGCCTATTAATTTTTTGAGGACAGGGACTTGTTTTGTCTTGTTCACCATTGCATTTCCAGCATCAGTACTTTATCTGACATGATAGATACTCAGTAAATGTGTTGAATGAATGGATGTATTTTACACATAATAAACACTTAACTCATAAAGGTTTTGTGGTTAATGGGTGAGTAATGAGTACATCAGGCTGGCTTGAGCAAAGCCTCTATTTTCAGGAACAGAGAAATAAGAATGGAAAAGTAGTCTGAGGTGAGATCATGAAGGAACTGGAATACCATTCTGTAAGAGTGGGGAGCACCCCCAACCTTGTAAATATAGACTGGGCAAGATGGAAGTGGTGTTGGAGGAGGTTAACTGGCAGCAGTGGGTAGGCTTGGTGAGTGGTTATTAAAAAAAACAACAACAACAACACATAGATGTAAGAGCCTAAACAGTGATGGTAGCAATGGAAGAGAAGGATGAGATAGGTAATAGGAAGGGAGGATGAAAATCACTGGTTGGATGTAAGGTTGGGGAACCAAAGATGACTCCAGAGGATAACTTGTAGAATTCTTTCTTGGTCGACAGAAATGTGGTAAGTGAGAGAGTGATCTGGTTTTGATGAAGGGAACATGGTGCATTTGGTTTTAGCTGTGTGGAGCTTGGGGTATCCCAGAGGAAATGGAGGACTGATGATGCAGATGTAAGGCATCCACAAAGAATTTACAGTTGACTAGAACAGATAAATCCTCTGGAAGGAAAAGAGAAACCAATCATCTTGAACTCAGGACCTAAATATTCAGGAATGAATTTATCTAGGACAGGGGGAACAAATGAAAAAGACTTAGAGAAAAAAAAGAATAAAAAGGTGCACATCCCAGAGTCTAGTGCTGAAAATTTGGGGACTCTGTTAGATGTGTGTGTACATATGCACGGATTAAAGTCTAAAAACATATACATTTGCATGTTAATTGTGTCATCCTTAGGTGATGGGGTCTTTTATTTTCTTCTTTTATATGTTGGTAGTATCTGATTTCCCTGAAATAAGTGTATCACTTCTGTCACTTTGAGGCGTTACATTAAAAATATTTGAGAGAAATATATTAGATCAAATGTTATAGGAGAACTGAAGACAAAAGATACTTTTAGGAATTCAATTCTTCCCTTATGGATCATTCCATCTTCTCAAATAAAAACTACAGGCAGGCTTAATAAGTAAGTAAATATACCTCCTTATTTGCTTCCCTTATTCACTCAATCAGCTGATATTTATTTAATGCTTACCATGTGTCCGGCACTGTTCTAGGCCCTGGGGGAAACACAGTGAATAAAATGGGTAACATTTCTTCTCTTCGTACCAGTTCTCTTGGCACTTCAGTAGCACTTACATCCTAGTGAACCATTGGGACACTGAACTGAAATAATAATAGATGTGAAAGCATTTTGAAAAGTTGGTATGCTGGGGGTTTAATAGCCTATTGGTGTTGACAGATCCAGAGTAAATACAATTATTATTCATTAATATTCCAATTTTCTTCTTTTCCATAGATATTAGAAATATTAGGGTTATATCTGTAAAGTACATTTATGCATATACATATGTTATAGACTTAACATATGTCTTGTGTCAGTACCTTGGTGACTGTATTTCCATTTCATCTTGAGACTAAATGTCCAAGGGCACTTACAGAGCATCAGAACTTGAAAAAGATTGAGTGCGGCTCACCCTAAAGATGTAAACTGGGGAATACATGAGGGGAGGGAAATGAAGGGAAGGAAAAGCTCAGGTGATATAGAACATTCTGGAACATATCCAGCAAGCGAGGGTAGAACTATATTCTCCTCTTTTAGAGAATGGGGCGACTGCCCCATTGTTACATTTTCCTCATTGGAAAGGATGGACAGTGTGGGACAAGGACCATTTGTCCGGGATTTAGAAAACTCAGATTGGAGTCCCAGCAATCTCCACTATCTTCTGGGACCTCATGAATGAAATGAGAGGGTTGAACTAAATCAGTGTTTCCTAACCTTTTTCATTATGAAGACTCCTTTTAAACAACAACAAAAAATTGAGACAGCCCCCTCCTCCTCCCCCTCCACAACCCATGTAACAGTGGCTATGATTGTCATAGTGTCTATGAATTCAGTGGTCCCTCTAGAGGCATTTGTATTTCATTCATGGAAATTTTGTACATATGACAAAAATACATTTACAGGCAAGCCATTCTTCAGTGTCGGGGGGGTGTTTGGTGTGCGTTTGGAATTACAGGCCACTTGCCCACATCCACGGGTTTCTTATGGACCTTGATTGAGAAGCACTGAACTGGCTCTCTTCATCTCAGATCTGTACTACTTGTGTAGCTCTGAGTCAAGATAAAATACCAGGACTTGTTAGTCTGTTCCTATCTGCTAATTGAAGATCCTTTGTAGAGGAAATTAAGCATTTTTCAGTCTGCATTTCAAAAAGATATTCTAAGCTATGTCAGACATCTCTTAAATGAATGGGGATGAATAAAGATGTATTTGTTCATTTTTCCTTAGCCCTTTCCAACACCTTTATATAAATTAGAACCTGTTTGCCATGACTTTAATCTTCAAAAGTGATTATTTAGATGTTATTTCAGGGTTGCTATCAAGTGCTTGTTAATTCTTCTTTCCTGCAGTTCCCATCTGTGTGGAATATCAGTTTTCATAGGGAACTAATGAACATGATTGCAGGTGCCTTTAATCATAGAATCATAGGAGCTGGAGACAGAATAGATGGAGATGTTGCATTTTCTTCATCTAGAAAATGGGAGTAATAATGTAACCCTTCCTCACCCAGTTGTCATAAATGAGAAATATGATTGCCAAGCTAATTGCAATATAAATAGCTGTAAATGAAATGCTAAGTAATAAAAGTAGGAATGATTTGACTAATAAAAAATGTTTTTCCTAACTCAATTTTTTCATTACTGATGCCTCCTGGCAGTAGTCATTTCTGGTGTAATAGTACTAACAACAACAAAACCCACAGAAACCAACAGCAACTATCATTGATGGATCACTTTTATATGCC